TCGTTTGTCCTTGGCCGCGCCGGTGACGCGACTGTCCCTGGACCCGATGCCCCCTGCGGCCCCCCGCCATTGCCGTGGCCGCCCTCGCCCCTGACTGTCCCTGGCTTTGGCGTCGCGCTGCCCTCCGCCGCCGCCGATGTGCTTGACGGCCCCTGTCCCCGACTGCCCCCGTAGCTGCGACGCCGCCGTCCGCCGCCGCCAGTCTGTCTGGCCCTTCCTGCCCCTGGCCGACTCGCCGGCCCAGATGCGGCCCTCCCGCGCCGCCGATCTCCTCGGCCGCCCCCCTGCCCCCCGACCTGCCCTGGCCCCTGTGCCCGCCCTACAGTGCCGCGTCCCATTGTTTGGGGTCTGGCGCGCAGGGCGCGCCGTCGCCTTGGCCGGCGTCGCGGCTCGTGGGCGGCGCCCCTCGGCGCTCCCCAGTTGAGCCGGCGCGCCTCGGGCCGGGGCCGCGCGCGCTCGATCGACCGGTGGCCGATCGCAATTTTTCCTGGCTCCCCGCGCGAGGGGGGAGGGGGGCGGGCGCGGGCGAGTGCGCCGGGCGGGGGTTCGGCAAGACCGCGCTGGAGAGGTCCGCCGGATAAGCGCGGCAAAGACCCCCCCCCCCCCCCCCCGCGATCTCATGCGCCGCCGCCATCCAGCTTCAAGTCTCATGCCACCTTTCATTCCGGATATTGGATTCAATGGTCTGCCCCCCGTCTTGCCAGTCCGCGCGCTGCCCCAGTTGCGCCGCAGTTGGCTGCGTACTCGGATCTCCAATTACGTGAATATGCCGGCGGAAAAGCGCTCTCGGGCAGGCCCGCGCCGCGACCGCCCCGCCGAGTGCAGGGCGCCAGCGCCGAGTGGAACCTCGTCTCCCAAGTCCATTCCAGGAGATTGGCAACGCGCAGCTTGTTGCAGCTGTTGCTGAAGGACTTCCCCCACCCCCCCCGCGTCGTCTGGAATATTATGATGCCCCATCTGGAGCGGCGGCGCTTCTCGACGATGCCGGGGCCAATGCCGCGGCGTCTGCAGCCTCGTCGAGCTCCCCAGCTGCGCTGGAGGCCATCGACAAGTTTCTGGGGCCCATTCAGACAGACATCGCATTCATCAGAATAAACTGAATTTCTCAATCCGACCTCCAACTTGCAGCGGCGCCATTAAAGGCGGCCGCGGACGAGTTGAAGGCGCCAGAGGGCAACGAAATCGAATATAGTTATATGCGACTTGCGGATGTGGAAAAGCCGCGCGGAAGAATCGGCAGGCGACGCGGGCGCTCGACTTAGCAGACTTGAAGTCACATTGGCTGATCTGGCAAAGAGCCTCGCTCGGTTTCTGGGGCGTCACACGCCGCGGCAATGGGGCGCGAAAGTGGGAAATCTGGAACGGGGGATTTCGACGCTACAACAACGCAACCCAGCAGACAAGGCTCGTACTTTCCACGAGCACGGAAAACATTCAGTTACAGCTGTTACCGGGAATTCAGACGATTTCGACACTGCGATCGCAGCGTCTTCGCTTGTCCGAGGAAAGTCTGCGGCCATGTCTGACCCTGTCTTTCGAATCATGCACGTTGAAGGTGCCTTTGGAAACATTTTATGCGCGGAGTGCGGGGGCGTTCTGGGGCGGAGCACAGCGGTGGCACTTTCTTGCAGGAAGCGTTTGCAACGGGGCTCAAACGCGATTCGGGCCTGCCGAGACAGATGGCCCATGGGAAGAGCAGCGCGCAAGTTTGCATTCGGCGCGAAGGATTTGGCGAAGCACGAGTTGGATCGCGAGTGCGCCATTAGAGCCTCTGACACTTCTCCACGTCAGGTCTCGGCGGGAGGGCGATCTCCATCAACGGCAAACGCGCGCGACTGCTTCGCGGGGAGGGCGCGGGGGGATGACGGGAACGAATGGGGCAAAGCACAGAGTCATGCGAAATTTGGGGAACTTGATGATCAATGCGATTCTTTCGTTCGCTGGGCCCGCGCTGGCACGATAGGCCCCCCCAAAGGGAAGTCAAAAGGGAACTGGGGGGGGCGGGGGGAACGGCCGGGCGCGGGGGCCAGCCTGGGCGCGCGCGTCCTGTGCCGGCGCTGTTTAAACGGCGCCAGCACCCGCGACGCGGCATAGCAAGCGCGCCCAGTTGGAGGGCGCGCGGACACGGGCAAAGCTGCGATTCCTGAGCGCGCCGATTCCGAATATGATCTCGCCGCTATTTCCAGCGGGCTGGGGGGGGGCGGGCAGAGATCCAAATGCCGATCGGGCAGATGGTTAATGGCATGGGCGTCGGGAATTTCTCCAGCCACGCCCTTCTTCTCCCTGCCATCCTTCTTCGAGGCCCGTCGCCATGGAGATCGTCTTCGAAGACGCCTTCTACCCAATTGGGTGCTTCCCGCGCCGCCGCGCGCGCGCGCCTCCGCGACCAGGTTGTGAATTTTGCTGCCGTGTCCTTTTTTTTCCTCCTCCATTTTCATTCAGTTTCAACCTCGCACCCTGTAGATGCAGGCTCTCTTTCGCTACAGATGCGCCAGCCAAAAGTGGAGTCAATCACCTATGGCACCTGGAAATGGAGCTCACCAAACGCTCGGGGCGAGATGTCATTGACGTGCTGCGCATCCAGGAAGCAAGGAAACCCAAAGCAAATGTGCGCGTTGTTGTTTCCGCGCGTTTATTCTTTCCTGGGCGGACTGCGATGCGCGCTTGGGCTGGAGCTGGGTTCATGCGTCAAATCATTCACACAAGCGTCCGACATGATTTGTATTTCAAAAATTGCGTTGTTTGCCCATATTGCTGGATTTGTTTGAATTCATGCCCCGTGCAACTTGCGACCGCAAGAACGCATTGGTTTCTCTCCCAAGCTCGAAGCATAACGCAGGGATTGCCATCCTAATTATTACAGAATCAGATTGGCGATTTCAATGCGAGGGTGGGCCTGGCACGTCTTGGAGAAGACGAAGTAACGAGAGCATGCGACTGGGGCTGGGAGGCCGCGCGCGAAATCGAGATGGCAAGCAAAGAATTGGTACCGGAGTGCTGCTTGGGAGCTGGCATTGTCATATCCAGCGCGCATGTTCAAAGCCCCTCGGATAGAAAAGGAATTCAGCGAGGCCGGGGTGCCATCTCGCAGATAGATCACGGTGTTCACGCGCAACATCGTGGACTTCTTCTCGCGCGAGCCGCGGACGCTGGACTACGTCGCCCCCGCGAAACTGGCGCGGCGCAGCGTTGGCGACCGACCAGTATTCATTTGCTTGATGGACTTGGACATGCCCGCCAGCGCACATGAACACAACAAAAATCGACGTTGCGTCATTTGGCAGAGCCGCCCCCGCGAAGATGTCATGAATGCATTTTAGGATTCCGCCCCGCCAGATTCCAGCAACGCGAAAAACATTCGGGATAGTATCAAGCATGCTATGTTGCGCGCCAAAGAGACGCCCCCGCCACGGGAACACAAGTGTCGGCGGCCATGGATGCCACAACGCACTTTGAATCTGATTGGCAAGAGAAGCGAGGCAAGAACAAGGAACAAGTTGATCGCAGAAAGGGCGCCATCAAAAGAAATGCGCAAATTTTGCGCATGGGACAAGACATAATATCGGGGATCTCTAAAGGCGGCGCGCCGGCCGCGCCCTCGCAAGGAAGGACGGCCCCCAAGTTCACGGCGCGAGTTGGTCGGCGGCGAGGAACGGGCGGACGCGGAAGCGGAGCATCTGGCGACGGTTCAATGGAAAGTGAGACCGGCAGCACTATTAGACCGCGCGCCGATTGGAGAGCCCTCGGACATCCCAGATGCCGATTCTTTTGTTTGGAAAAATTGCATGCGGTACACAATGCTGGAATTGAGGTGGGGGGAAGCTCGTGGACTGGACGGAATGCCGGCTGAATTTTGAAAGACAGTTGCAACAGACACCCATGGCATAGAAGTGATCAAACAAATGGTGAACAAGTGTTGGAATACAAAAGTGCTGCCGGAGTGATAGCATGCGAATGCGTCTGCCATGTGCAAGAGCGTGCCGCCCGGTCAGTTTGCTACGCGCGATATGCAAACCATTCGCACTCCCACTACTGGGGACAGACTACAGGGGGCCAGGACCGAAAACATATTTACAACCACGCAGTTCGGCCTCAGGAGGCGCAGGGGGGCGCCCGTCGCGATGCATGCCGTGCGCGGACGCATCGACATGTCATATGTTGAACGAGATGGTGAAGTTGGGAAAGGTTCGCCTGGGATTGGGGAAAAAAGCGTTCGACTT